TATTGAGATTTTTGTGAATTTCGTCTGTTTATTAGTGTAACCCCCCTGACAAACATTGCAACAAATATGCTGTTTATTGGGGCCTGGTATGTAACAGCATTGACTAGGTATATAGTCAATGGTAACAGATTAAACCTACTGTGAAAGATTTAATCCTATCGAAGTTTTAGTGACAGCAACAATGAACAGCTGATGTCATAAATTTCAGCTGATTATTTTTACCATACTTGAAGTCCTCAACATGCAACTAAAACATTTGTTTTCGCTGTTATGGATGTATTCGACTGCAGTATTTGGTTTGTTATTACCGTTTCAAGAAAGTTATAGCATTGACTAATATAATAGTAATGGGTAACGGGAATTGAGTACTCCGGAAACAAAAAATTAAAATCCAACAAAAAAACTAAAAAAAACTTTGAAATTATTCCTAACGTCTATAAAACCGTAAAAAAACATCTTCCAGTGACGTATCTCTTGAAAACCACAATTTGCTAGTATAACGAAAACGTATTTGCGACAAGACAAACTATACCAGTTTTGTTTGGAGGGCAGGGGAATTAGTGTGAACTCAGTAGCTACAGGAAGCTGATACGTTTAGCCCCTAAAGAGTTATTTTTGGCGCCTCTTGTAAATGCAGATGAGGGCGATAAGGTTGAAGGGTCGCTGAAGGACTTGGAACACAGATCAGGAGATCTTCATGGCTAATATATGCACCAACACAGACCCGTGTCTGAGTCAAGCAGTGCTCTCACATTAATGACCTTGTAAATTAACACTATTTGGACTCTTAAGCCCTTCTAAGTGGTTAATTGTACACCCATCTAACAATTTATCGTTTAAAATCTGAATTGATGTTAAGCTTTAGAAATCAGTAAACAAAACTGCCGCAGACAACAGACAACCTACAGACTAAGGGAATTTCCATTTTCCTGATTGGATTTGTACTTAAACATTTCATTTAGACATGACAGATTTATTCCACATTTAAATAAGATTAAGTTTAATGAGTACTTGGGTTTTCTGCTACAGGGAAGTTATTAAAGTGTATTTTTGGTAAAATAGCAATAGCTTTTGTATAAAATAAATAATAAGTTAAGTTTGATTAATTATAACCAAGCAAAACTACAACAGTATACTTATTAATTGTCCATCCCAATTTAAATTGCAATTAATATAATTTTCTCCATAGGGTAACCAATAACCGTACACAAAGATTTTTGTTTTTGTTTTAACCTCTACAAAATTGTTTAGTTAGAAATTGGGAAATTGTGTTTTGAGGTTGAAAAATAAGAAAACCCAATTTTTCCCCATACAGTCCCGTTTGTATAGTCCGATCATGCTTGTTCACGAACTCGTTAGAATAAACGTAGGTTCAAGGTTTATCCGCTTACCAAGTGTCATTATAAAATAGGATGTCTTTAGCTCGAGCTATTGTGCTGCGGACATCAAAACGAAAAAGTAAATCAGTCGAATAAGTGGAATGGTCTAGGTCTTACCATGAGACCTACGGTAATAGTTTATTCCCTATATGACATTTGCTAGAACTAAAGTGAAAGAGTCATTTTTGTCAAAATCTGACAGATAAACGGAGAAGTTATAAGTTTACATTGTTCTCATTCCTTCTGGAACTCCGCCAATTCAATTACACCGAAAGAGGCAGAGATTTGAACGACTTGGCAACTACATTAAAAGTTGACTTTATGGTATGGAAGTAGTAAAACTATCGTTTATATGGAAAAAACAAGAACTTTACGGATTGCCTATGACAAGTTTATGATTAGTTGTTGGGTTGAGACTTTGTAATCCGTGTCCAGAATTGAGATTTAGAACCAGCATAATCGATATATTATGTTCGTTTATTTAAAGGCATCTTGAACTTTTTCTTACATTTACATTTCTCAAAGTTCAGCACTTTGAAATTCAAGTGATTTCAAGTGCCAAGTACCTATATATAATATATATATATATAATAGGCAAGCATGTTTCTTGAAAATCTTTTATGTTTTTACGGGCTGGTAGAAGAGCCAAACGAACTCGGAAAAGAAAACCAATTTTTTTAAATATATAAGACACATGTTTTTTTTGTTGTTGTAAGCTAATTATAGAATATTTTATACCGTATGAAATATTCAACAAAAAACACACTTAGTGTTAATGTAATGTCGACCGTTCAGTAAGTTGCACATTCAACCATTCTCTATTGGAGTAAAAGATCAGCCGCGACTGTTCCATATATGGGTTGACTACCCTGGTATTTAAGTCAACGGTATTATTGAACGTGGTTTTCATGACTATTTAACCTTTGTTTAAAATTAATTATTGTAAAACTGTTGATAAAATTATTAATTACGATTTTAGTTACCGGTAATTTTGCACTCATATTTACAAAAGCTCATCAAATCTGAGCCCTACTAAGCCACACAAAAGAAGTTTTCGGTTTCCAACGTCAATAGTTTCAACCCACAAGATTGTTCAAAAATAAATCTTTCAGCAACACTCGGGAATGTTCGCGGTTGTCTGGAATTGACGCTACAAGAGCCTCAGTTACATAGCCAGACAGCCAGACAGCCAACATAACCAGATAGCCAACACAGCCAGCTGGATCACTGGACCATGTATAATCAACACGTTTCAATCCGATATCCGTTCATCGTCTCTCATTACAATCGCGGTTCGCTGCAGTCATTGTCCCATGGATCCGACCGCGATTTATAATCAACGGTAACATTGAATTTGGAAACTGCAAGACGACTTTTCGTCCTATTATAGGATGTGGAGCATGTTTTGATTTGTAGTTTGGATTAGTTTTAGGAGTTAGGACATACCAGATTGCTAACAGGCGAAGATGAGGGAAGGATAAGATGAAATTATAGCTTTCATTCTAAGATCGGCTTATTCTTAAGGCAGGACCGATGTTAAAACCTTGGATTAAGGACAACTGGGACCAGTTTTGAATTATTAAATAGCTACTGTCTGCCTTTCAGGATCGAACAAACTATTTTGTGATTCCTATGTGACTACTCACTCAGCTACCCGGATGGAAAACACCTAAACGTCTACAGAAATGGGTATTATGTACTATATAATGTAGCAATGACATTTGTGGAAATATTTAGACGGTCTTTATTACCTTATTTTTATAGTTTTATTTGCTGTTTATGTTATTACAACACAATTTTTGTCTTGTCATTTAGATCTATTTATTGTATGAAAATGTATTTGATATTTGATGTTACAGTCATTTCAGACAATTTTATTAATTAGTCCAGTATTTAATAATGAAGAGTCTCTTTTGCAAATGTTGCATTATATGCCTATGTATATTCCTTCTTAATTTATAATTAGTTCCCCAGGGACCCGATTCCATTTGCATTCTCCCCCTCTCTTCGAAAGAGTTGTCTCAGTTTCATTCAGTGAATTTATGGCAACTTCATTCGTGGTTACGTTTCGGTGTATTTTGAATAGTTTCCTCTTATTTTGGGTAGAATCACAGGAGGGGCAAAGAGTTGTAAATAGTTTTAGAATAATTAAATTGTAGCTTGCCTCCAATATGGATGGTTTTAAATAATCTGAAACGTCTGTCAGGATATACACCAGATAATCGACACGATTGTCCCCCGAAGACCAAAATTCGAGTCTAATTTGACCTTGGCCTACCAACTAGTTTGTAATTATGACGTTTTGTTACAATAGTTTAAAGTTTTGTAAAAATATGGGCTATATATACATAGAAAAATACATATTACAACGCACTATACGTCATATACCAAACATAAATTTGAATAGACAGAAGCTATAAGAAGTTGACGAATAAGAGTGACATATACATGAGGTATATGTATGTAGGAATCGATATCACCAATGGGCTGGAGTTTTTGCCGATAATAATATAGAATTATTAAAATCGAATGGTGAATAGACTAATTTAGGTTATACGATAAACTTTTTTTAGTTCCACGAGTGCAAAATGAACTGAAAGCATATGATGACAAGTCCTTGATAACAGTTCCCATTTGTAAACTGCATTTATTTTATATTGAAATTAATAAGCTGTTTTGCAAGCCTCAATAAGAAGTCAAGCTTCATAACAAGTCTTATTTGATTATCTCCAAAAGACACTTCTTATCAAGGTTCTACTGTACTGTTTATATATACCACTATATTTAGTGTGGTTTCTGCATGTCTGTCTGTGTGTTTGTTCCGGGCGTAAAAACTACTTTTAATTGTACACAAGGTCGATCATGATTCCGGCCAAACATTTGGACCTTTAAAATAGAATTCTTTAAAATACGTAACAATTCAAACAAATTCTATGCAACAAAATTACTTAAATAAATGAGTTAAAATGCAAGTCGTTACTCTTGACGTTAATTATTTCCCCATAAAGTATTTCATTCCACTAACACAAAGTATCACATCGTCATTAGCGTATCCATAAAAATATTGCACTATCCATCAAACTTTTGGAGTTATTTTTTTTAAAGAGAGAACCATCAAAAAATACTCCTACCTCCCAATAATCTCAACACCCCCCTCACAAACATATCACTCCGACCTATACAAAGGACCAGTGAAATACACCTACTTGCACCAGCTGTAAACATTTCACTAACACGTTATAAAACTAATTTTCTGGCCAAAAAACTCCACACACGTTCTTCACAGCCAAATGCGACCAAACTGGGGGCGAAATACAAAGAAAGGGGCGTATGAAGCACCACTTAGGCGATAGTGGCGCGGAGACAATGAGTTCCTTACATATTTTACACTTCTATGAATACGGTACGTTTGTGCAATGTTTTCAAATGCGTTTCCATCTAGATTTGTCTTCGTCTTGCTATGATTATAATCTGAGTAAGGAAGTGTTGGATTATCAAGAGCTTATATGTGTAATATGTTTTAGGTATACGTTTTGACTTATTGTATTTTTTTTATAAACACAATATTGAAATATTAGGTGGATGCAAAACTTAAGTGTATTCACGAAAAATCATAATTACGTTATCCATCACGTATTTCAACCCCCAAAATCAACTAGAGAACCTCAAGGTGGAACACCAGTACCACCACCCAAGCTTGGCTGTCGCTCCGATAGCGTCAACTCCACACGTCGGCGGTTCGATACTAAACGTTGACAACTTACAACAACTCCTCGCACCAATACACCGGGACGATTCACCTACGTTTCCACACACATAACACAACGGGTTCACGGACGTCGAAGGTACAGCGTACCGCGGAGATGCAGGGTGGATCACGTGATGTCTACAACGCTCCTGATTGGTCCACGGCTCGGTCCAGGGATGCTGTGTGGAGTTGCGACCAGATATTGACTGGAACCAACCCACAACCACCCTCCACCTTACACCCCCCTCCCCACCAACGTACATCGCGATAAACTTTAATTCCGTTATGGTGCTGGATGTTTGGGATGAAAGGTATTACCTAGGAACCAGGAAGGGTCGAAGGGGAAATTCAGGGGGTCAGTTTTTGGAACATAGGCCTACTGGGGAAGAGCGTTTCTCCCAGGGTGATATTTCACCGAGAGTTACGTATATCGTCTTGTGGATGAGTTTGTGTGAATGCAATATAAACGAATTAAGGGGAGCACGTGGTAGACTTCAAAAGTGGGATCAGAAATACTGACGAGTTTTCTTCGTGGGTTTATAAACTTTGACATTCAAGAGAGACGTATTTCGTTTTATTGATAAGTTCGCGCGAATGCAATATAATACCAATTACGGTCAAGAGGTAAAATCAGAAGGTGTGGTATCGTCTTAAAAAAATATCGACGAGGAGTAATCTTCATTTGTTTTCCTAATAAGCTAACGTGAGTTAATGCAATTAAGGCTAAAGACAACCGAACTACAACAGACAATATGTTTTTCGCCCTTTGGAACGTCGTTACGATCTTGAGAGAGACGTATTTTATTTTCCTAATTAGGTTTTGTGAGTTCAAAATATATAGTTAGAATGGTGGGGGTCGGTCTTGAAAAATAATTAAGGGTTCTTCTCATGAGCTGTAACTAATATCACACACATCCTCAAATGAGGACCGAAACGTTGTAAAAGCCTTGGCTTTTGATCGTGGAAGAAAATGACTGCAATAGCTTTTAAATTAAATTAACTTACCATTACCATCGACAAAAATTGACTTTAAGCAAAGGACTTGGTAACAGTCGAAGGAGGTAGAGTTCGTAGGTGGAAGGAAATTATAAAAAATGTTGAAGAATTGACAAGATCTCTTCATAAATTCTGAACTTTTACTTTAAAGAGTCTTTAATTTGCTTAGTAAGTTTCATTAAATTTCATATACTGTACAACTAACATTTTAGTAAGAGTCAAAAGAGGATGAATTCATAGGCTAGGGAGGGACAGGAAAATACCGAAGAGTTTTCTTCTCAGTTTGTGAACTTTGACCTTCAAGATGGAGAGGTATTTCGTTTACTTGATAAGTTTGAGTGAATGCAATATATATCTAGTAAGGTTAGAAAGGAATGGAATCCAGAAGGTAGGATACAGTCTTTTACATCTTTTTGAACTTTGACCTTAAAGCAGAGCCGTCTGTCGTTTCCTTAATAAATTTGAGCACGTTTGAGTGATTGCAATGTAAGAAATTTATAAAGTTTTTTGACATGACAGTCTAATGTTAAGTTGACTTATGGTGAGATCTCAGGTACAACTAGTAATAATTTTTGTATTTAAACTCACAGCAAGCTACATTATTTTATTTTGTTACTTTCTAGGATCAAATCTAAATATTACAAATCATAGTAAACAACTAATCTATTATATTACACAACTTATAATTTTTTATTTGATTTTAGCGAATTTCCCTATAGGGAAGTAGCTATTACCGTAGGTGGCACGGTAAGACCTAGACCCGGGACCGATTTACTTTTTCATTTTGATGTCCCCAGAGGCCAAAAACACCATTCGTTCAAATTTTTATATATGTATATATATATAGACTTATATATAATAGATATATATATATATCGCTTATATATATATCGCTTATATATATATCGCTTATATATATATCGCTTATATATATATATATATATATACGTCCGTGAACGCGATAACTTGAGTAACTTTTGTCCGATTTTGATGAAATTTGGTTTAAAGGTGTAATAAACTTGATAAACTTGAATGAGTTTGCGAACCAGCACGATCGGACCATGGGAACGGGGCTTTACGGGGGGTTTTATGGGGTAAAAATTGGTTTTTCTCACTTTTGACCCTCAAAACACAAAATTTCCCGATTTCTCTTTAGACCTTTTTAAAGAGCTTAAAAAAAACAAATAATTTAGTATATAAAAGTATTTTTGTTCTATTATTAGTAACGGAGAAAATTAAAAAAATTTTAAATTTAAAATTCCCATGTTATTCTTATGGAGAATATTGTCAAATGTTGTAGTTCGCTTGTTTATGGATATATTTTGATAAAACTTGGCAAATTTATTTATTTAGTACTAAGCTATCAATGTTTTACTCAAAAACACACTTTATTAGTTTCCTTGTAACAGCAAACCTAGGTAGGTACTCGTTAAACCTAATGTTATTAAAATATATTTAAATGAAAATCAATTCAGACAAATGGTAATTCGCTTAGTCTGCAGGTTTGCTGCGGCGGGGGTATTTATTTATAATTTTTTTGATTTTATGTTACTTGGAAGGAAAAACTGATCAAATACCCTACTTATATTTTTACAAATCTTCACGTTTGAATTGTATTAAATGAGTTATATTTTAGCATAAGGGAAGAAGCAAATGATTAGATCGTTAAGGATTGAATTAAGTATTACTAGGTGAACCCGCGCGAATTCGCACGGATAATAAGTTAGGATATTATAGCAACGCCGATTGAAGCTACGTCGTTGTATTGACGTTGGTCTTGAGCCTCAATTTCTTTTGCTGTTCATTAGGAGTATTTTGCAGGACGAAACTAATCATGCTGAAAACTTGCGCGTATGGATTAAAATCAATCAAATGTTGAGTCAAAATGTGCATGAGTTCAGTGCTGCAAGAACCATTAGCTTTGTTTAGCATTCTTCCTTGAACAGCGGTTTTGACGTCTGTAGATATAAATTTGAGCATATGTGGGATGCTCCCCTTCTGACGGTTAAAAGTTGCCAATTGAGTGATAAATTGTGCACCTTATACATGAAAGGCCCTCCACCGTTATGTTCTTCAATTTTAGCTCGAGTGCTGACCATTGCGAGCGCAGAGTTGTACGATCTAATGTTCTCTTTTGTAGTTTCTGCTCAAATGATTTGCTCCAGTAGGCTCTGGAGATTTCTTGGTATGGTGGTAGGTGGATTCACTTTTCCTTTATGGCAGCAGGATGAAAATCCTTCGCTTCGTCCTCTTTGTTCTTCTTTAAAATGTAGCACACCACATTTCTGACATTTTAATGCCATCTCGCCAAATGAATGCTGCTGAATTCTTGTATTTGTCGGTGTATATTTTCAGTGTAATTTTGTAAGTACACGTTGACACTAACTGTTCCAGCTCCTCCTCATCTATGCTCCTTACGTTTTGCATTGCTTGCACTATGTTGACTCACCGTGTCCGACCGGCATTATTTCTTTGTCGTCGGGTCCTTGACATGTTTCAACGAAAATATAATGTAAAACTTTTCTCCCGTCGTGTCCTATGGGTAACATTTTTTGCCAGGTTTCTAATTATTTTTAAAAACATGCAAACTGTTTACATTTCAAAACCAAACAAAACAGCTGGGATTTATTTTTTGTTTAAACTAATGTATTGACATCTGTTTCAGAATATAATAACATTCAAATCAATCACAACTAGAGGACCCATGCTGCTCCGCAGCGTTAAAATAATTATTATATCCGAGAAATAATCAAATTTATAATTTTTTATTGAGTAATACGGTATCTTAAGCTTAACTGATTCAAACAATCAATAGCTCAATTTAAATCCTATAATTTACTGATTATTTTGTGTCTAAAACATATAGAAAAACAGGAACAATACTGGAGCTATTGATTTTTAACCATATTAAAACATTAAGAAAAATAATTTTTATATTGGTTATTCACCTTGCATTTGCTTGAAACTCGTCGGATTTGAATAACTTAAATGAAAGCCAGTATTTAACTGAAGGTTCTTAGACTAAAATATATGGGATTATAAATCTATAGCTGGTAAAGGTACATCTTAATTTGAAGTAAGAAATATAAAATAAATCAAATTATGTGTTCTGGTCGTGTAATACTGTAGGTAAATATTTGTAGATGATTGATGGCAAATTTGTGCGTGCATTCGAGACCTCAATCATGATAATCGGTCAGGTAGAAGAGCCAAACGAACTCGGCAAAGAAAAACCAAATTTAACTTCCATAAGAAATACATGGGGAGCAAATTTTCATTTGCGTATACACCGAGTGGGATTATAGATAAATATATGTCGATGCTTGATGGTAAATCTGTGCGTGCATACCTTCAATTTGAGACCTAAATCATGAAAATCGGTCGGGTAGAAGAGCCCAACGAACTCGGCAAAGAAAAGCCAAATTTAACTCCCATAAGAAATACATGTGGAGCAAATTTCGTTTACGTATAAGCCTAGTGGGATTATAGATAAATATATGCCGATGCTTGATGGCAAATCTGTGCGTGCATACCTTCGATTTGAGACCTCAATCATGAAAATCGGTCGGGTAGAAGAGCCAAACGAACTCGGCAAAGAAAAACCAAATTTAACTCCCATAAGAAATACATGGGGAGCAAATTTCGTTTACGTATAAACCGAGTAATACTATAGATAATTATATGCCGATACTTGATGGCAAATTCGTGCGTGCATACCTTCAATTTGAGACCTCAATCATGAAAATCAGTCGGGTAGAAGAGCCCATCGAACACGGCAAAGAAAAGCCAAATTTAACTCCCATAAGAAATACATGGGGAGCAAATTTCGTTTACGTATAAACTGAGTAGGATTATAGATAAATATATGCCGATGCTTGATGGCAAATCTGTGCGTGCATACCTTCAATTTCAGACCTCAATCATAAAAATCGGTCGGGTAGAAGAGCCAAACGAACTCGGCAAAGAAAAACACAATTTTACTCCCATAATAAATACATGGGGAGCAAATTTCGTTTACGTATAAACCGAGTAATACTATAGATAATTTATATGTCGATGCTTGATGGCAAATCTGTGCGTGCATACCTTCAATTTGAGACCTCAATCATGAAAATCGGTCGGGTAGAAGAGCCAAACGAACTCGGAAAAGAAAAACCAAATTTTTTTAA